TGCGGTGTTTAAAAATCTACGCTCACATTTTATTTTTTTGAAGTAGACCAAATCAATATCATTCCTTGAAATTTTCACGGAATTTTCTCCGCACAAAGAGGGAAAATCACAGAAATTTTCAAGACTGGATGTTAAGTAGTTTTTCATTTAAAAAATAAAGTATGACAGGAAGTCTGCGACGTCGCAAACCGAGATACGTGGTTTGGTAGTTTCACCGTCGATATACCCTCTTTTAAAAGAATGCATGAATTAAGCCGTTTTAGAGGAGATAAAAGCGCAATTCAAACACTCTTTAAATAAGCGTGGTAAAAATGAATACATGAGAATTCTTCGCTTATATTGTGTGTCACTTGACGTGGTCACGTAAGTGTTTCTTTTCTAGCCCGTATACGCTTTTCTATAAAAATGTGTATTAGATGACTGACGTCGTTTTACTCTATTTGAGCAGGAATAGTTTCCATTGAGCGGCCTGTACAAGGTTTAATGAAAAGGAAGAATCCTTTTTACGGTACGCACGTCACGTATGCCATTTTTCAAAACAATCATGTCACGTATACACTTTAATTATAATGTAAAAAGGTCTGCTTAGGTCTATACCTAAAGGTCTGTATTTTGCGATAAAAAGGTCATCTGCGTCCGTTCGGCAATAAACATGAATACCTAAAAACTCTCTATTTCTATTATGTGTGTCACTTGATATACGGTGGCATGAGTGTTTCTTGATATCCGGTAGCATGAGTGTTTCTTCTCTACCCCGTATGCGCCTTTCTATAAAAATGTGTATAAGAAGACGAACGTCGTTTTACAATACTCGCGTCACATAAGACATTCTTAAAATGAATGTGACACCCGTTTTCCAAAATATCATTAGTCTGAATTTTGGTAAAAATACGATGAAATTGCAAATCTAAATCTACGCTAAAAGCACTTTGTTTGTATGAAGAGTAATGGAATGCAATTCACATAATTTTGTATTATCAATTCAGTTAGACAGAAGAGTTGCCGAGCAATCTGTATATCCTGTTTACGTAATTTCGAAGAGGGAGCATTGTTCAAAAAAAACTTCCCGCACGAAAAATGGTGCGGCGGAATTTTACATACAAGGATGCATAAACAATCAAATAACTACATTACACCCTAATCTCGTCGTATGTCCATACGTCGAGCACAAACTTTCAACAATCGGACTGCTGCTATTCCGATGGAGCCGGCCGTTTCTGACGACTATCGGGATTAATCGGTAGTCAGAAACGAGGTGCGCTGACAGCTCCGCACAGCCACTGCAAAGTTGCAACCTCCGATAAGCCCAGTCTTCGCGTTGTCAGTACTCAGCATGACCCACAATCATGATACTACTCTGCCAGGCTAAGGAAAAACGCCATATAAACCTTCAGGCGTTGCCAAATTTCGATTGATAAAACACGAATTTCCCAGTAAACTTATGGATATTTTTCTTCCAATTTTTCAGGTAACGCTGTTTGCAATTTCATCTAAAGCTCCTAAAAATTCCAAGGGAAAATATTGATAACTTTCCTCTAAACAAAATTTTCATTCAAGGAAATTTGGCAACTTCCGAATGTCCATACGGCGTTCTTCACTGGCACGGCAAGACTGGAGGCGGACTTGCCTGTTATACATTGATATATGATAGCTATTGGTGCGGGTCTTACGTTTCCTTGCTGGAAACCAGCAGGTTACCTGTATGATGAGAATCGTATATTCTATCGAATATTTTGACTATATGCAGCGAAGCGAAGTTGGCTCTCCACGACTGAGTTCTTTAGTGGATAGATCCAAAAATCATACTGGGTCATACGAATCGGAAACCAGTATTTGTGTAATCAATGTTATTTCTTCCCAGGGACGTAATATCCTCATGAAGATCACAATATGCGTAGGGTTTTTATGCAAGAGTACCTTCATGGAGAGCGTATATGAACCCTGGCACCATGGAGAACTTTGGGAACAAATATAATGGCAGTCACTCGCTTCGAAATGGAGGGCCAACTTTTGGTGATTATCACCTGCCGAACATTTTACTCTCCTTGCCATAGTGGAAGTATAGCTCGAAAATATCTTTTTAAATGTAGTGTACAAATTTTATTTTAAAACTGAATGAATGCGCCTTAAATATATGGTTTGAGACTATTTCACGCTGGTGCAAGCGATTAAAACTTCAGTTTCTACGATTTTGAATTGTCTACATGCAAAGCTTGCCAAGAGGTTCCCCGGGACCATTTGTCAAAAAATGTCTTGAAAACTAATCCACGGAATAATTCAGTCAATTAGTTTTTCACAAAAAAAAGTGAGGATGTTTGCAATGTTTAAATCAAGGAATGTGGTTTCAAAGTTAAACCATCAACACGAAAATGGCCTGATATTCTTCTGCGTCACCAAGAGCAGATTAAAGAGAGCGAAATTTTTGGTTCCTAAGAGTTTTATGAAGCCTACGGTGGACAAGCCAATCGAAAACGGGTAGTCACGCTCTCCCCATTCAGGCACTCTTCAGAGCTTTCAGCTTTCCTATCCCTCATTTCCGCGGGGCTCCCGGAATCCAGGAGAAGTCCGATCGGAAGGCAACGCTGGACTCGTAACTGGGGATGAGGAAGTGCAGTTAAGAGAGTCAACGGGATTGCGCGCGGATATGCAAGAGAAGATGAGTGTCCTGGTTGGCCGAGGCTCGTTGGATGCCAGACAGCTACCCATTTTTCGTTGGCCATCGCCCAACTGAGATCATCCATCCAACTGGCAAATGGATGGGTACGCCGCGGAAGAGTGCAACGCTGATGGGGAATTTCGCGCAATCGTGGTCGTAGTCGAGGTCGCGCCGCGCGGTGGTTATGTCGTGACATTGAATGCACCGCTCGCTACCGCCTGATTGTTGAGCTTTCGCTGCCCCCTGCCCCC